GCTTGCTACGTGGCACACAGGCTCCCAGGACAACTCTGCTGACCAAAAAGGAGCTCTAGGCCTCTGGGTACTTACTGGCGCTCACTTCTGGCTTCCCTGTCCCTGCAGTTTCTGGCTTACGACACACAGTTGGTCCTGGGGAACCGGAAGCACACCATCAGCCCAGAGGACTACATCACGGGGGCCCTGCAGATCTACACAGATATCGTCTACATCTTCACCTTTGTGCTGCAGCTGTTGGGAGATCGCAACTGAGGAGCCCCCCATTTCACCCTCGCTGGGCTCTCCCTTCCCTAGAGGGCTGGGCCCTGTGACTGGGGTCTGGGCCTCAGACACTTTTTTCTTCCCCTCAAAGTAACATACCCAGTTTCCTTTCTGTCCAGGAGATGGGTAACCTCTCTGGCTGTGGAGGTGTGGGAACCTGTGGTGGGCAGTGGGTGCTGGGACAGTTCAGACCTGTTAGTGGGCTTGGCAGGAATGAGGCTGAGGATGTGTCTTTTGCCCTCTACCCACAATATGGCACCAAACTCTTAGCACTTGGGTGTGTGTGTGTGTGTGTGTGTGTGTGAAAAGAGCCCATTCTATAACTGAGAGGAAATGTGAACACAGAAGGGACTTTAAGGTGCAGGGGTTCCTCTCCCAATCTGTCACGGGCTTCTAGCCTAGGTAGCTGGAGCCTGTTTCCCTCCTAAACCCAGTAAAGCCAGACAGTATTATCCCCACCTCCTGGACTACAGGCCATTATTCTATACTCCTTAGACTTGGTACCTTTTAGCTCAGAATGGTAGAAGAGATCTGTGCCCAGGGGCCTCAGCACTCTAACCCCATCTTGTTTTTGTAACATGTATGTATTGTTTATCTAGGTTAGGGCTGGGGGGAAGAAGAGATGAGCAAAGTACAGGGGCTAATACAAAGAGCATGTCCTCTGAGCTCCCTCCAGGCTTGGATGGTGTGAGAGAGCAGGCCATTTGGAGCCTTCTGGTTCCCATTCTCCAAAGTTGCCTGGGACTTCCCTGGGTGCTTCTGAGGTCTTTTACTTTCTCTGCTCAGGCAGGTAGAGCAGAAAGTGAGGGACAAGAGTCAGTAAACAGAGTAGTTTGTATGATCACGAGTGTGGCATAGAAGTAGCCAGGGTGAGGAGATGGGTGGAGGCTTGGAAAATGCCTTGGGGCCTCCAGAGCCAGTTTGAGAAATACTAAAACCCACCTCAGTGCCCAAGGAAACTACAGTGCTCTTCCTTCTGCTAACAGGAAGGGCCCTGAGGGCAAGGTGATTGCCTCTCTCAGCCTGCTCTGAACTCCCACTGGGGGGCTTTTCGACTTCAGACCACCTCTCTAGTCAGCCACTGCTTTCTTTGTAATACAAGTGCCTCAAGCTGGAATAGGGGAGGGGACAGGGTCAGTCTATCGGGTAGGGGCGGAAACCACGTCAGCCCAAGGATATAATTAGGACTTCTTTATTGAGTACTTGATCCTAAATATATCACACAAAGGGACACAATTATAAATGTATTAAAGTTTTGTTTAGAAGTTAAACCCTGTGTGGCTCTGGTTTTCTTCTTTGGAAGGTGTTGGCTCAGGGAGTGTCTAATTCTGCCCAAAGCATCCATTCACTTCCTACCTCTACATCCTGGCTGGGTCTCTTGCACCTTTCCTAAGGTCACAAATATCCTTTATTGCTGGACTTCCTAGGGAGGGATGTGAGAGGCTGGTGAAGGCTCAACAGTTGGCTGGGGGAAACGGGAACTCAAACTTGCAATAGTGGATTCCAAAGAGACCTCTTGTTACGGGTCCTTTACAAAAGCTCACGAGAGCAATTAACTCTCTTCCCCACAAAGCTATATGCATATATAAAATCTTGCAGATGAGGGAGGGAATGGACCAAGGTTCAGAACCTCTGTCTTAAAAATCACTAGTCCAATCTCTTGAGCCCCAGAGAAGTTGAGTCATTTGGACTGGCTAAGGGTACTGCTTGTTTGCCTCCACACCCTTAATGCCGCCTTTGATTCTCTTTATTATTTGTTTCAAGGCTGAGTGGGACCCCACCCTCCTGGCCCGCAGCTCTGAGGGATTCATCCCCAGGGCCTGAGCCTAGGCTTGTGGTGATTAAGCCTCTGTGGTGGCCCTGCCACCCAGCCAGGAACAAGCTCTTCTGTGAAAGGGAGCATACCTGAGTAACCAGCCCCACCCTCTTCCCCTCCACTCCCAAGGGACTCAAACCCAAACCTACTTCCTTTCCACTGAATAAATTTATTTGCTTTCAGCTGGCTCCTCGGTGTGGGAGGGGCAGGGATTGGCAGCAGTCTGGCTCCATGCGCCCTCTGGTGGACCTCACAGGCCAATGACCAGAATCAGCCAAACTGCAGGGTTTCAGTCAAAATACAGTCTAGAGGGTTGCTGCAGTGCTCCTCAGGCCTGTACCCCAGAACCAACTTCAGGGGATGGGGCATGTTGGGAGGAAGCCCTGAACCTCTGGCTCTCATACTCGCCCGTGTTGGACGCCCGCATGTTCTGCCGAGCCTTCATCTGCTTCAAACGGTTCTTGTCCACTTCCCGCTTGGTGAGGATGAAGAGTAGGATACCACAGGGGAAGCCGATGGCCCTAAGGGTAGGGAGATGTGCACGGGGTTTGGGCAGGGGCCAGGCCTGAGCCAGAGCTGGGGGGTATGGGGGGATCATTCCATCTTTTCAATTGCACGAATGCTGCAATGCCTCTTGTGTCTACTTGTCCCCTCTGCTGGCTGCTAGAGGGACCCACATAAATCAGATCCTGTTGCTGCCCTGCTTAAGACCCCATAACAACTTTCCATCACTTCCTGGATAAGTCCAGACTCCTGGGCATGGCAGAAAATGCCCAGCTCTTCACTCCTTTCCCCTGTGGCACAACACTCATAAGCATGGACCCTGCACTCCTGCTTCAGGGCCTGTGCATGATTCTCTAGGCAGACCAGCCTCTTTCTCTGAGTCCTAGCAAGTTTCTCTCTACTTAAACTCCACAACTCCTCCCAGGCTTCCTCTCTCTGGTTACTCTACTACTGAGGTACGACTCCAGCCCCTCCCTTTCCTTCTCTGAGTAACTGCGACTAGGGGGCGCCTTGGTGTGGGGGAAAGAGCATGGAGTCACAAGACCCGGGTGAGAATTCCAGCTCTGAGCCTCAGTTCCTTCCTCTGTGAAATGGGGGTGTAATATTTATCTCAGAAAAACTAAAACATTACATGGTAAAGTACTATCAAACCTCAAGAGGTGAAAAAGTGTTAATTTCCCCTATTTTTCTTTTGATTGATAGTATGACCTAAGATCAGAATCACAGCCAAATAACATACAGAACAACTTGTAGTTACTATACAAATAATACATGATTTCAACTAATTACTAGGATTTGGGTCTTTCCCCAAGCTCCCAAAAGGGAGGATGAGGCTAGGGACCCAAGTTCAAATCATCTCAGCTCAGCTAACGCCACAGAAAACCCACTGTCTCCACAATTCCACATACTTTCCCACCTCTCCTGACCCACTCCTCTGAGATTCCATTCTTGGAACCCAACAATTCTGTTCCTATAACCTTGGATTCAGCTCACCACTTGAAACTTAAAAGTTATTTCTGGGTCCTATCCTCCCCTGGATGCACTCCCCATGGGTGGGCAAAGAGGTAGTTAACACTCACCAGGCTAGTCCCACAGCTTTCATGGGGTTCTTGCCCCTCTTTCTGGGAATGTATTCCAGCTCAGGGGAGAGGGGCTCAGGCTCCTCCTTGCACTCTGGGGAGCTGTGGCTCTGCAGTGCTCTGGTTCTGTTCTGAGAAGCCTTGTTAGCAGTGGCTCCTGAGAGGATTCCTGTGGATGGAGGTAAGGAAGGTCAGCACAGGGATGAAGAGGGAGCTCCGGGAAGGTGGGTACAGGGTGGGAAGGGGCGGTTGAGATCTGAGTTTGGAGTAACAAGTGCTAGGGAGAATCCAAAAGGAAATGGGAAAACTGCAACTGAGGTGGGACCTTTGGAAGCCACTTTCACGTCACTGCGGGTTCATCACCCTGGTGCCAGGAGAGCGAGCTTCACTATTCTTCATTTCCGACGACAGGATGGGAAGCACTGCAAAGGGACTCACAGGATTCGTATGATGGAAATCCGGGGAAAGGTTTTAAAACTGAAGAATGTTAGCCCTGGAAGGAAGATAGTCTACTCCATCCCCTCATTTTAGAGAAGAGGAAACTGAAGCTCTGAGAGACAACTGCTTCACCCAAGGTCAAACTGCTAATTACCCAGGGTTAGAACCCAAGCCTTCAGAAGCCCAGGGCTCTTTCCTCTGCACTGCGGTGAGTGTGAAACACCTGGAGCGCGGGAGTCTAAAACATTCTTCGGGGGTCCTTCTTGCAGCCAGACCCCAGAGGTGTTGTGTAACCCGAAGGCAGGGGCATGGACTGAGTGACCTCTATAGAGCATCTTTTCACCCCAGACTCTAAGATCCTAAAGAGTGGTGTGGGCAGAATTGGCTGCCCCGACCGCCTGCTATAGCCGGGTGGGATGTGAAAGAAGAGAAATCTCCTGCAGTCTTGCCCTCCCCGGGGTCCCTCTCCTTACCCCGGAGGACGCGGGCATTTCTCGCCCCCCGGCCCTTCAGCGCCGTAGCAGCTACCACCGCCGCCATGTTCAGATCCCACCCCCCTCCACCGCGCTCTCCGCCGGGAATTGTAGTTTGCGTAAGGGGCCTCCCCCGCTCCTTCCGTCCTGCATACAGATCAGAAACTACATCTCCCAGAAGCCCGCAGAGAGGACTCCAGAGAACTACTCTTCCCAGGAGACCCCGGAGGCGCGCACGCTCGCTTGTTTCCCTCCTGTTGGGGGCGGAGTCAGGCCGGGCGGAGTTTGGGTTCTCCCCGCCACGCCTCAGCCCCTTTTCCAACTCTGCCTTGTGATTGGTGGTTCAACCAGTCAGCCCCCGTTGCTATTGGCCAGGCCGCCTTCGCTCTTCCTGCCCGGGAGTCGCCTACGCCTACTTCCTCCCGGGAGGAGGGGCTCGAGTTCCGCGTCGCCGCGCAGAGCTGACTCTGGGAGGCGTTTGGGCCCAGAGAAGTGGATCGGCCGCCTGCGCCGCATGGAGTCCGAATCAGAAAGCGGGGCCGCCGCTGACACCCCCCCGCTGGAGACCCTAAGCTTCCATGGTGATGAGGAGATTATCGAGGTGGTAGAACTGGATCCTGGCCCGCCGGACCCGGGTGAGAACTGCTTGTGCTCAGGCCATGGGACAGGAGGCGCTAACCCCTGGCCTCTGACCCTTGCTTCTCCCCGCTCCCCTCTTCACCCTACCGGTCATTCTTACCGACATTCCTCTCCCTGTCCCTTACCCTGCCCCCACACTTAGTTGTCAGGCCTGGCGGGGTGGGGGTTCCCTGACGCCTCCCCTAGCCCTTCCCCTCACACACCCCCTTCCCATGATGCCCTCGGTCCTCTCTTCCCACACGGTTGCCGGCCAACCCCGGGTCCTCAGACCTTGCCTCGTATGCTGCGCCTCACACGCCCCCTCCTCCTGCCCCTTAGCCCCCGCTACACCCCAGCGGTCTGACTTCACCCTACCCTGTGGCCACATGACCTACCCCAGCCTCGGCCTTCTCATGCTTATTCCCATCCCTCTTAACGCCTCCTGAGCCTCATTTTTTAACACTCTCCCCAAAACAGATGATCTGGCCCAAGAGATGGAAGATGTGGACTTTGAGGAGGAAGAAGAAGAGGAAGAGGGCAACGAGGAGGGCTGGGTCCTGGAACCCCAGGAAGGAGTGGTCAGCAGTATGGAGGGCCCCGATGATAGTGAGGTCACCTTTGCCTTGCACTCAGGTAGGCCTCTGAGGAGATCCTCTTTAAATTAGTCCAGGTGGGCATTTGAGCATTGCACATTTGCTGCCTACAGAGCGTTATGAAAGACAAGTTGGGAAAGCTGTTGGCCTTGTCCTGCAGGAGTTCACAGGTAGGGATCAGAGAGAAGAATGGCACTGGAGTCAATTGAGTCACCTGGGTTTAAATCCTACCTCTCCTTTTTACCAATTTGTCACCTTCAATAACTTCTCTGGCCTTAAGTTTTCTCTTAAAAAGTTAGCCTTTGGTGGAAGTTAATGAACGTAACCTGAATGGAAATTAGAGGTAATTTATGCTGAAAAATGTATCTTTTTGGGCACTTTTTATATAATCTGTTCAATAACAGCTCTTACTAAGAAGCTAATAACACGATGCTCTCTTCACTGTATTCATACCCAGCCTGGTGGCATCCCATGCTGAGAATTGTAAGCCCTGTACTGTCCACAGTTTCAGTGGGGGGTGGTGAGGGGAACAGAACAGTATGAATCTGCCCTGGAGAAAGACTTGGAGCTCAGCAGGTTGGGGAAGGATTTCTCTAACAACTCACTGCTTACAACTTAGAAGAATTTGAATGCACCTTTTTTTTTTTCCAGGAGAGAAGACATATTGCTTTGGGTGAAAGAGGGTGGGCTTCCTAAAGGTTCTAAAGGACAGAACTCTAGGTGGGAGCCCCGTCCCCTCACCTGTGGATTATCTTTTGGGACAGCATCCGTGTTTTGTGTGAGCCTGGATCCCAAGACTAACACCTTGGCAGTGACAGGGGGTGAAGATGACAAAGCCTTTGTCTGGAGGCTCAGTGATGGGGAGCTACTCTTTGAGTGTGCAGGTGAGGGGGCTGGAGTGGAGGCCTGGGGGAGGTCCTGTTCCTTTGGAGATCTTTTGGGGGTGATCTGCGGTAGTTGAGCATCTGAGAGCCATCTGTTGACCTTTGTTTTGTATCAGCTGTGGGCTGGGTCCCAGGAACACAAAGAAGAATAACAACATAGTCTGTTGTAGGCTTAGGGGCAGGAGATGCTAATTGGCAAACAGAGTTTAGGAAAGGCCTGAGAGGAAGTAACACTGGCATAGGAGTAAGAGGGAAAAGGATGTGGGGATTTCAGGCAGATGTGTAAAGGGAACAGAGGGGCAAGGCAAAGAAAGCTCAGGCTCCACTTGGTTGAGTAGGGGCCAGTTATATCTCTACTGGGGAGACCTGGAGGTGTTAGTTCCTAGAGCTGCAGTGTTTGGCCACTTGTTTTGGTGGAGACTGCCTGCTTTTTTCCCTAGTAGGTCTTTCAGGGGGCAAGGGAGCTGGGTCATGTGTCCCCAGCACTTAAGTACCCTAAATTTTCTTCTTTTTCTGCCCACTTTTCTTGGCAGGCCATAAAGACTCTGTGACTTGTGCTGGTTTCAGCCATGACTCTACCTTAGTGGCCACAGGGGACATGAGTGGTCTGTTGAAAGTGTGGCAGGTGGACACAAAGGAGGAGGTCTGGTCCTTCGAAGCAGGAGATCTGGAGGTAATTTCTTCAGAGTGGGATCCAACTTTGTGGAACCACAGGTTGGGACAAGAGATTTGGGGGCCTGTATTACCTCCAGTGGACAAGCCTGCTCTGAGCCAGTGTACCCAAAGTTATAGCAAATGTACCTGTTGACTTGAAAGTTCCTACTGACCCCAGAAGCAGGAAAACTTTCAGGGGGACTTAAGGGACAGGTTCCTTAGGTGGGGTGGTATAATGGGCCTCCCTGCTGATCCTTCTTTCTGCCTAGTGGATGGAGTGGCATCCTCGGGCACCTGTCCTACTGGCAGGCACAGCCGATGGCAACACCTGGATGTGGAAGGTCCCGAATGGTGACTGCAAGACCTTCCAGGGCCCTAACTGCCCAGCCACCTGTGGTCGTGTCCTCCCTGACGGTGAGAGTACTGTCTTGCGTGTTCTCCTGGGTGTAGAGGGGGATCCCAGGTTATGCCCTTCCCTGAGCTCCCTCTGGGCCCCAGCTCTGCCCTTTCTCCTCTCCTCCTCCACCCCCTTGCTTAGTGTGTGAATGTGCCCTCTATTCTCTTTTCATTGGTGTGTCTGATCCTTTAGGAAAGAGAGCTGTGGTAGGCTATGAAGATGGCACCATTAGGATTTGGGACCTGAAACAGGGAAACCCCATCCATGTATTAAAAGGTACCAGAGGTGGGGGAAGTGTTAAACTGGGCCTTCATGGGAGAAGGCTGAGAATCAGGGCAGGACTGAGCCTATCTTGTCCCCTGCTTCTTCCTAGGGACTGAGGGTCACCAGGGCCCTTTGACCTGTGTTGCTGCCAACCAGGATGGCAGCCTGATCCTGACTGGCTCTGTGGACTGCCAGGCTAAACTGGTCAGTGCCACCACCGGCAAGGTGAGCGGACCTGGAGCCTGGCTGGGGGCCTCTTGTTTTCCCAAGTCTTCTGCCTTTCCTTTCTTGTTCCTCACTCTGCTGCTGTCTGTTGGGGTCTGAGGGTCCTGGACCTCCTCTGATCATCTCCTCTGGCTAATAGGTGGTGGGTGTTTTCAGACCTGAGACTGTGGCCTCCCAGCCCAACCTGGGAGAAGGGGAGGAGAGCGAATCCAATTCGGTGGAGTCCTTGGGCTTCTGCAGTGTGTGAGTGTGAGCCTGAGCCTTGGCCTGGAGATGAGAGGGACTGGGGGAGAGGCCTGTGGGGGACCAGGGAGGAGAGTGGGTATGAGTCCAGGGTCTCACAAGCTTCCTGGTGCTCCACTGCCCAGGATGCCGCTGGCAGCTGTTGGTTACCTGGATGGAACCTTGGCCATCTATGACCTGTCTACCCAGACCCTCAGGCACCAGTGTCAGCACCAGGTAAGGTAGTTGGAGCTGGGTTGCTGGTGGGCTGTGGTCATGGTCACAGAGAAGCCCTGGCCTCTGGGAGCGTCCACCCCAAACCTGGCTCCTACCCTCTCCTTCCCTGTGAACCTCCCTCACTGAGAGTTGGGAACAGATGTCTTTCTTCTCCCATCCCCGGTATCTGACACATCTGCCACCTTGCTCTGTGTCCTGGGGCAGTCGGGCATCGTGCAGCTGCTATGGGAGGCAGGCACAGCTGTGGTGTACACCTGCAGCCTGGATGGTGTCGTGCGCCTCTGGGATGCCCGGACAGGCCGCCTGCTGACCGACTACCGGGGCCACACGGCTGAGATCCTGGACTTTGCCCTCAGCAAGTACGTGAAGTGGGAAAGGGCTGGGACCACTGTATTTGGAAAGTGGCACTAGTATGGGGTCTTGGGGTATGGAAGGGATTTCCAAGAGGAGGGCATTGAGACCCAAGGCCTGGTTGCAGCCTGTGAGACAGCAGTACTGGGAAGCCTAAGGGTTTCCAGCCCTGGGAGTCATCTTTTAACAAGTCTTAGGCCAGTGGTTGGCAGTGATCTGCCCGGGTATCGCCTCTTGGTCATGAGTGGAGAGGCCGAGACTGATGCTCCATCCCACTCAGCTCTGTGCTCCCATGCCAGGGGGACTGCCTCTCCTGTCCGCTCTGCTATTTGCATGGAGGGTTGATGGTCAGCGTGGCACTAGTTATTAGGGACCCAGAATCAGAGTGTGCTGCTGGAGCCTGACCCAGGGCCTTAGTCCCTTCAACCCTGTGCTTTCTGTTCACAGAGATGCCTCCCTGGTGGTGACCACGTCAGGAGATCACAAAGCGAAAGTATTTTGTGTCCAGAGACCTGACCGTTAATGGCTGTGGCCTCTGACTTGGTGTCTGGTGTTGAGGGGGATGAAGGGAGACCCCCCCTTTGCCCTGTGAGGCGCAGGGTACAGAGGGAAAAGGAGGGGGGGCTCAATTGCTTCCCAACCCCTTTAACTGACCTGCCTCCCTCTGTCCTTTTTTTCTCCTTGAGACCCCGCCCTCGGGCCCCCTCCCTTCTCCTCACCCAGACCTAGGGGCCCTTCAGCGGGAGGGACAGGCCTCTTTCTCTTTCACTTTCATTTGCTGGTGTGAGCCATGGGTGTGTATTTGTATGTGGGGAGTAGGTCTTTGAGGTTCCCGTTCTTTCCCTTCCCAAGTCTTTGGGGGTGGAAAGGAGGAAGAGATACTAGTTAACAGATTTTAAAAATGTAAATAAAATATACTTCCCAGAGGCAGTGTCTGTGAAGGTTTTGTGGTGGCTGGATACAGGGAGGAACTGGCGAAGGCCATGTCAGTGGGAAGCTCTCCCAAACTGCTGGATGTTGAGAGTGCCAGCCCAGCCTCTCCGGGGCCGTGGTTTGTTCACACTGACAATTACGTGCTTGTCTGGAGTGGAGTCTCCCTGGCACACATCTGTCTTGAGGTTCTTTCTGTGACTGTTCCACCAGCCACTCTCTTGAGGTAAGGAGTGAGATCACTATAAGTGGCCAGAGGAGCTTTATTCCCTCAGGGTGGGGATCCAACAGGGGAATGATTTCTGTTCCAGGGAAGAGGGGACATATGGAAAGGGATTTGATGACTGAGATGGACAGATGCTTCTAGGAGACAGCTGCGGCCCTTCCCCTAGTTCAAGTCCAAGTCAATGATGCTTTGGCTGCTGGTGTGGTAGGCCATGCTGGGACCAGGACTATCCCTGGAGGTTCTTCCCCACAGCACCCGTAGCCACCTTTGCGTGGCTGCCCTCCAGGGGGCTGTGTAGCGCTGATCACCCAGACCCATGGCCACAGGCACAGCTGCTGCACTGGCACTGCCCAGTGAGAGGAGGGATAACAGAGTTCCAGGCCCCAGTGGTGGGCGCTGCTCATAGGCCAGGACCGACAGGAGCAAGGTGGCCACATAGGGTCCCCAGCATAGCCCAAATAGCAGTGTGGCTCCAGCTTGTGCCTTGGCCTGCCTCCAGGTGAGGGTGCGGGCCAGGGCAGAGGGTGCATCGCGACACACTGCCCGTTCCAGCCGGCGGATGTCCTGTAGCTGGCGGTGGGCAGTGACCAATACTCGGGCAGAGAGAAGGGCAGCAGCCCCCACAGCAGGCAGCAGGAGCCCAAAGATTTCAATGTAGAGGTAGGGAGCTGGGAACACAGCCTGGGAGCTACAGTTGGCGTTGGGGCTCCAGTGGTTCCACCCCAGAGCCGGCAGACTGGCAAAGAGCAGGGGACCAGTCCATGTGAGGAGCAGGGCCAGCCGAGTGCTCCCTTGGGGCTGGAGTGGCCGCAGCACTGCCCTGTAGCGCTCTCCATGTACCAGCAGCAGATTGGCCAGCAGAGAGAGGAAGGAGAAGTTGGGAGCCAAGTAGAGGAGGAGGCAGGACCAATAACCCCTGCGGCTTTGGTTCCACAGCACCGGCAGCGTGGGCAGTGCCAGCCCTGTGAGCATCCCAGCCAGCAGCAGGCTCAGGAAGAAGCAGCCAGCAGGGGGGCTGCGCAGGTGGTGGTCTCGAGCGATGCCCAGTGCCAGAAGAAGGTTGGCGGCCACAATGAGGCTTGCCAGGGTCAGGGAGAGCCCCATAGCCACCATGGGGATGGGGATGGCCACCTCCCCAGTGCTGTTGGGTGTCATCTTGGGCCTTGGAATGGGGGAGGTCTGGAGCAGCAACCGGCATGCCTGGATGGAGGAGGGGGGTGGCCAGAGTTAGCCTGGGGCTTCAGGTCACTGTCCTTCTGGTGGGGACTGCACAGTAATCCAGAGGCTGCAGACCCAGACTGTGGGCCATATCCTGTGTGCCGATACACATTTTTTTGGAATTAGTTGCCAATATTTAAAATTATATACAAGAATTCATATTTTTGGTTTCTCTGCAAAAGCGAGGTATGGTGACACATTTCCTATATGGTAGCAGGGCAGTGGCTGCCTTTCAGGCAGTTGACCAGTCTCCAACAGGCAGCATTGCCCATTTCGGTCATCTGCCTGGGCTCTGGGCAGCTGTGTTTATGCTTATTTAGATTGAAAAGCAGACCCATCCAAATAATTTTGTCCAGCCTCTGCCCCACCCAATGAGGCTCTGAGCCCAAAGAAATGACAGGGTCTGGCTGGTGTGGAGTGGTCTCTTGCTCCCCAGGCCTGGGGCACAGTGGGGTGCCCTGTCCTTGCACCTCCACCCCCTGCACCCTTGCAGTCTGGTACAGCTCAGTGAGCAGCCTCCGGGTAGGACTTCCAGTCCATAAACTCGTCCACTGCATGATAGCAACAGGCTCTTCCGGGGAACTGGAGGAAAGGGTGGGGGAGGGGATGCATGCTTGGCTTTGAGCGTGGAGATGCCAGCAAGCAGAGAGAGGACCCCCATGCTTCCAGATGCTAAAGCGGGACGAGGATAGGGAGGAGGGGCTGGTGGGCAGGGCCTGGCCTCTCTGTCCTTCCCTTAATTTTCTATCCAGGTTTCAGCCCCATGGCCACATGCTGGGGCCAGAGGGAGGGGTCCTGGGTCCTGTGGGAGCTCCTGCTTCTGTCAACAGGGAAGCAGCTGCTGTTGCTAGGATCAAAGTCAATAAGGAAGGGATTCCTCCCTTCCTTCCCTCCATCCTGGGTCAGAATTGGCCTCAAGGCCACCCTGAGCAGAGTGTTGCCTTGCCTTCCCTTCCCACCTTAACCCCTAGGCAAGTGCCCTTTTCCCTCCCCTTACCTCCAGTTACCATTTGTTTTTTTTGGTAGATGTTCACAATATCTTTATTTTGTTTATGTGGTGCTGAGGATTGAACCCAGTACCTTACACCTTTGGCAAGGGCATTACCCCGTCCTCCCCAGCCACTCCTGTTTCCTCTTACTGAATCTCCTCCCAGTGCCTCCCACCCAGACATCCTTCCCTTTTCAGCGATTCCCCCAGTTTCTGTTCTCCTTCTTCCTTACACCATCAACATTATTAAACCCCATAAGACTTGGTCTGAACTGGAGTTCCTAGCACTATTCTGAGCGAGTCCCCCACCTACACCAAAGCTATATTTTATGATCCCACATCAGCTAGTACAGCTATATTTTATGATCCTTGAAGCAGCAAGAAAGGCAAGGATCAGCCCCCCAGGAGTAATGTCGCAGGGGGGTACACACTGGGCCACCACATACCCTGGAAGGTCTGTGGCCTGGGCCAGTGCAGTGGCCTTTTCAGGATCTGGGCCTGGGAGACTGGCGGGAGGGGCGTAGGTACTCACATGGTGGCTGTGGACAGGTGTTGCTCACCAGCCTGGGCTTTCCTGAGTGTCAGGGAGTCACAGCAGCTAGCCTTTCAGGGCTTGGGACCAAGTCTGGTGCCTGGCCGGCGAGTGCATGGTGCATCCACTCTGGGGCAGTAGAGCCCCAGCTCCCGGTCCAGGCTCTACACTGCCCGGGTTCCCAGAGCTGTGGCTGGCGGGCCCAGCCCTGGCCCCGCCTCTGGGGGTGGGACCTGGCACATTCTGAGCTGGAGCCACCGAGAGGCCTCCCTCTTGGCTCCTTGTCTCCCTTCCTTATCCTCTAGTACCAGTGACCCTCTCCCTGGCTACAGGCCACATGGTGCCACCTAAGTTCCCCTACTTAGATGGTGGTCTCCCTAGCTGGGAGCCTTGCCTGTCACTGCCTCACTCATCTGAAAAATGCATTTCAGTTAATGAATGGTAATGACTGCCTACCCCTACCCACCTCCAACATCAGCTAGTACAGCTATATTTTATGATCCTTAAATCTGAGGCAGCCAGCCAGGCAAGTGCACAGCCAGCTCCCATATTCCTGCCAGCACACCCAAGGGTAGTGTATGTGTGTGTGAGAGAGATGGTGGCAGTGGTTGGGATCTTCAGTCCCCCATCCCATCAACTGAAGGGCCTTTTAGTTTATAAGACCACCTTTTGGGGTTACTGTGGGGAATATCATGGGCCAAGAGGCAACCGGAGATACCCGAGTGCTTGATGCTAAAGGGAGAGATGAGGGAGGTGTCATCTCAACAAATGACTGTTATCCTTCCTCCACCATGATGATCTTTAAGAGGTGTGAGCCCCCAGGGCATGGTGGCACACACTTGTAATGCCAGACACTTCATGGCTGACATAGGATCACAAGTTTGAGGCCAACCTGGGCAACTTAGGGAGACCCTGTATGAAAACAGAAAATAAAAAGGGCTGGGGATGTAGGTCAGGGGTAGAGGAATGAGACTGGGCTGGAATGAGAAGTTGGCTGCGATTCTACTTTTTTCCAGCTTGGGCCAAAACTTTGGTGGATTGCTAAAGTTCTCTTGCCTTGGTTTCCTTATCTGAAAAATGGAACTCCTAATTATACACACCCCTTACAGGACTAAGATCATGTGAAACAGACCAGCAGTTGGTAGATAGCACCCAATGAAGGACAGTCATTAACATTATTAGGCCTTCTGCACTTTTCTGCACCTGTACCCTTTAGGACTCTGCTGAGAAAGGCAGATAGGGGACCTATGAAAAGCAAGGGAATGACACTTTGCTGCACAGAGAAACTGAGGAAACTCGGTGAGAGGGAAGGCAGAAAAGCCAAGAGGTATGGTGCCTGATTTCCACCTTGTATCAAGTGTGGTTTTGGGGTGAGGGAGGAGAGGGGCCCAGCCACACTCCCTTAAAACTGCAACAGGAAGGAAAAAGCTGCAACCACAGCAAGAAGGCTCTTGGCGAGACCTGAGGAACAATCTGAAGAGCACAGCAGAGAGCAAGGGGACTTTCATGCTCTTGGAGACTGGCTCTGCTTGCCATTCAGGGTCTTGCAAGGTGGGACTTCTATTGGGACATAATAGGAAGAGAACAGCCAGCTTCAAACCCATTCTCCACAAGGTCCTCAGATCCATGCTATCTGGCAGGGCTGGGCAGAGATCCTGGGCCCTGGAGAGTTCAGCCTAGGATCTGGACAGAAATGGGTGCAGGGCCCCTTGGATTTGGGGCTGCCAAGAATAAACAGACTGCCTTCTGTTCCCAGCCCTGGCCTCCTCCCCACAGGATCCAGGATGTCTGTGTTTCTTCTTCACTGCTCTGTCTAAACACTGTGTGTGGCATGACGTGTGAGGGGTACAACTCAGGCGGGTGGGAGCCTGTGTTCTGTCCCCCACTCAGCCTGCTCCTTCCTTATCAGATCCTCTGGTTCTTCTCTGTTCCCGTCAAGCCTTGGGACTGACTCATGCTCAGGCTTCTCCCGTTTGCCCAGAAGGCTCTGGTGCAAGTTTCCAGATGCTCCATCTGGCTGGTTGTGCCTGGA